TTAATAAATGTGAAATATAGTTATTAAACTTATTGTTTTAAAAATGAGATTTATAACGTTAAAGTTTAAAGAAAATCAAAATTGAAATGTAGGAAAATAATTTTAAATATTTCAGAATCAATTAATTTAGCAAAAAATGATGGTTAAAAATTTACAACTATAATTCTTAATATCTTTCCATGAGTTATTGAGAAGTAATATTCTATTAGGTAACATATTCATCACTGAATACAGTTAATTTTTAATAACGTCTTACGAGAGATAAAATACAAACAATTTTTCATGATTATGTTATTTTTTCAGCTATTTTTACATTTATTTCTAATCATTTTAATCTATGATCATTGCCAGGCGCAGGAGAAATACTGATAAAGAAGCAACTTTTTAAAAATAAAATATATTATGTAGTATTTAGTTTTTAACATTTAACGGTCTAAATATTTGTATTCGAATTTCTGGTTTTTGTAGACTATTCAAAACTTTATTTTAAATGTTAAATTTCATTTTTCTTTGAGAATCAGCAAAAATACAAATGAACTTTCATTTGCTTTATTTATGATATTCATTTAAATTTATTTAAAAAATACAATCGAACCTTCAATAGAAGCCGTCTTTCAACAATGGCCACCTCTAAATAGCGCCCATATATTTAGAAACGTTCTTAAAAAAATGCATTCAAAATAACCTCCAAATAAAAAAAAAAAACCCTTTTTATGTTATCATCAATGGCCGTTTTCAGAGGTTTGGCTATCAGTTTTACTATCAAATTAAATAAAATAATTCGCTAAAATAAAATAATTAACAAATTCTTTAAATTCAGAAAAAAACAGATAGAAGTTTTTGTTTAACAAAAAACGAAGTGCATAAATACACTTAACTCCTTACACACAAATTCAAGAGCTTGCCGGATTAGCGAGTTACCAGATTAAAACGAGAGTGTCGGAAAGTGTGTAGGCCTGAAGGCAATGAATGACGTGACCTATCGCCCTTTGGTTCTGATTCTTTTTTGGAGACAGGAGGGCAAACAATATGGTGAGAGTCCGCCCACCATATTGTTTGCCCTCCTGTCTCCATATGCAATACTATACACAGAAATGAAATCCGAAAACAGGAAAACAAGTGTGACAAACATTTTTATGGAAATGGAAGCACATAGGCAATTACACGGCGGATATGCCGGATTATTGAGAGGGCGGATTGACAAGCGTGTACTGTACTTACTTTTATAAAACGAGTGAAAATTGCATAATGGTAAAATTTCTGACTAATTCTGTCATCAGAAGAGGAAGATGGCAATTTATTCTTGGCAGTTTCGTAAATTACCGATTCATTAAAATATCATTACCACTATTATCATAAATCATGCAAATGATTAGCAATTTCTAAAAATAAAATATTTATGCTAATTATTTATTTAAATATTTCTAGATACAAATTGACTATTAAATATTAAATATCACTTTTTAAAATTAGTTACTAAAATTTGTAATACTCTCAAATACAAATGCTATCATTTGTGTAGTTGTATTTACGTACAATTTGATTCTATAAAACAATAAATATTGTTTACTGAAGACGAAATTTTCAAGATAAGTTGAATGCTTTTTTTTCTGATTTAGCCTACACATAGCTAAACTACAAGCTGAGTAGAAAGAAACTAAGCTTTGAGAAATTGATATAATTTTTGCAGTACAGTATTACAATTTTTGCAATAATTCAATCATAATAAAATTTATATGAATCAATGGAATTTTATAATTGTTGCATCGAGAGAGTGGTGTGAGCAGTGACCGAGATAGGCTGTACGCGCAGTGGAAAAAAATATGGCCGACTATTTGTCTGTTCAGGAGCGAGAGAGATTGCTGCGACGCTATGAGGTGTGGAAATCAGTGATCGCAGTGCAGAGATGTGAAAGTCTACGGTGAAGAGACGTCATGCATCCATCCATCCAGAAACCATCAAGATATTGTCATTCGAAGCTTAAATGACCACAGGTTTGGTTTCGGACGCACAGAGAAGTTGGTGGATGGCCCACATTAAATTTTAGGATATGCAGCCCTATTTCCATTTACTAAGGCACGTGTCAAATAATTTTCATCATTCTTGCATTAAAAATATAGAAATTATATCGATTTCTCGATGCCTAATTACTTTCCACCATACTGTAGTTACAGCTTAGGGCTTATTCTACGTGGGGAGAGTTTAAGGCCTCATGTTTTTAAACGTATTATTACTTAATGTACTATGAAGGACTTTTTACGTTATAACTTAGCGTGTGCGCCAACTTTAAGGGGCCGGAACACGTTCGGCCTCCCAATAATATTTTAAATGGCGCTGGACCCCAAAGGAAGATACTTTAGAGATCCTCTGTAACATTTACTTCTGTAAGTAAACAAATAAAGAAAAAATTAAGTACAGGAATAAGATTTGAAAATGACAAAAGTACCTATTGCATACAATATCTAAGGGTTTCTAGGGTTTCTACTTCTAACTAGAACCCTTAATATCGGTTCTAGTTACACTATTGATTACGAGTCGATCATTAGCTAAAATTCGATTGGTTCCGTTGAGGCAAACGATCGAATCGAATTCGGATTTTTCGACTTTCGTTTCATTCAATACATAAATAGTGTTTTCATATCGATTGCGATGATTGTACTGGCAAATTTATTCTTTTTTTGATATTATAATCTGTAACTTTTTTCGCATAAAAACTTTATTTTCAATTCTTCAAAGAAATGAGTCTGTATCTAGAAACCTAAATTTCGATAAATAAAAAATTTATTTAAAATTATTCAATTTTGCAAGCAACATTTTAATGGTTCTTAACATACGAGTAGCATTATGAAATTTCTATGTTATAAATCATTTAAGATTGATGTTATTAATCAGTTTTATCCTGTATGTTACATAGAAAAAACTTAATTGATAAATAAGAAATGATGCTTTATTTTAAAATACGAGGTATCTGAAGAAATTAAACCTATGTCGATGTTCCGTCCAGTATGAAGTGTAAGAAATTAGAATTAATCACTCAGAAATATTAGATTTTTATGTTGAAAAGTTTGGAATGTTGCTTTATCAATCTTCGCTCTTTCTAAATATTAATTAATTATTTATTTATTACATTAAATTTGGCGATGTCTCGTGGATAATATTTGCCACCCCCATTACAATAATCCCAATTAGTTAAAAATTGGTAAAACCAAAAAACCAAAGTTACGCGGTAAAACCAAAGTGAAAAAAAACAACGCGAGAATAACAAAACAATAATAAGACAAATATTTAAAAAATTATTTGGAGTAAAGTATCTTTTTACAAATGGTTTTGAATTTATAGAAGTCAAGGAACAATTTGTCTTCGATTTCGATAGTGGTTTTTTGTTAGCGGTAGAAGAAAGATCTAATTGTTACATTCAGGTGGTAGTAGGGCGTATGAGTACAGGTTGATAATCAACTATTGAATGTAGGAATATGGATAAAGGCATAATGAGAAGAAGAAAGCCTTTAAAATATTTGTATGTATAGATACGATCAAAGTAATCTATATGTTGGAATAGGTTAATTAAAAAGCCCGAGACGGATTTGCGCACCATCAGTGTCATTCATAATCTAATAAAATTTATTTAAAAATTACTTAGATTTTCTCTTTGCAACTTGAAATGGATGTTTCTAAAAATAGAAATGATCTTGATCTTGATGTACCGAATCTCCAGAACATGTTCCTTGGAATGCCCATATCAGAAAGTAACTTCTGTGTAAAACCTTGTTTTATATTTGATCTGATAGATAAATAACTCATTAAATGAAAACTTATTAGAAATGAAACTGATGCCCAACTTAGAATTTGTTCCTTTAAATCAGTGGTTCCCAACCTTTTTTCATTAGCGTACCCCGTGACATGTCATATCTCTAGAATGTACCCCTCATTTAAGAAATTTAGTGAGTAATCGTATTGTTAATTTTACATATTGTAACTTTAAATTAAAGAAAAAAAAACTAAAAGAAAAAGTGTATAATAAAGTTGTGATTGTTGCTAGGAACATTTTTTATCTAATAATTTTTTAATACTATTAGTTTGTGATACATAATATATTATTTTTCTGCCATAATAACTAACTTTTTTCTGTACCCCTAAACAACCTATCGCGTACCCCTAGGGGTACGCGTACCACAGGTTGGGAATCGCTGCTTTAAATAACTGTATTACAGTATTACATTTCATTTTTTTATATTCTTCATTATAAACTACTACTGGACCTTATTTCGCTTATGCAAATTCCGTATTATCAGAATCGGATTTGCACTTGAGCTAAATTTATATGCAGTTTAGGGTTTCGCGTTACAAGCCTATAACGTAAGGCCTCACGTTATTTGGTATTATGTTATAGCTTAGAGCAGAGTTTTTTAACTTTTTGTTATATGGACTTCTTCTCGGAATAATGTTTTTAAATGTATTATATAAAATTAAATTACGAAAGAAGCTAGTTATATAAAAATATAACTAGCTTCTTATATATCTTTATTCATCATTTAGTGGTACTACGCACCGGTTAATGGTTGCAGTGAGTCTTATTTATCGTTATATCGTTGTGGTAAGCAGATGTCTAAAAATTTTCTACTTAGTCTCGGAAGAGGGGGGAGACCTAATTATTGCACTCGGTGAAAACGGGTAAGATCGGCTATAATCTAATAATCTTAATCTTTGCTATCGTCACTTTTTGTCCGAGCAACGCCGGGCTCATCTGTTAGTTTATAGAAGAAAGGCAACAGCTTCATAAATGAAGAGATGCTTGATTAGAGTATAGGATAATGAGAATTAAGATAAGTTGATTTTTGGACCAACTGATTAAATCTAATTGTACCCCAGGTTTATAACTTTATAATCTGAAATTAATTTGTCATTCGTGTAATATTTTATTTGACATTATATAAACTTTAAAATATTCTACTCTGAATAATTTGGCAATTATTTTAATTTGCAATTTTCAATATTACCAGCAGATTTCATCAGCAGGCATTGGTAGAAGTGAAGATTCTAGAGCACTTGTCCAAGAAAGATACGGATGGATATTACTGTATTATCCAGATGTTGGATCATTTTCACTTCCGAAATCATTTATGCATTACCTTTGAATTAATGGGGTAAGAATTAGTGATAACTGCTATTGAATTACTGGCGTAATTATAATTATTATATTTGTCTCATTAGCATGAATTTATACGAATTAATAAAGAAAAATAACTATCAAGGATTCAGCTTGAGTCTCATTCGGCGATTTGCATATTATCTTGTTCAATGCTTAAGGCTCCTGTATAGAGAAAAAATTATACATTGCGATTTAAAACCGGTATTTTTCTTCCTGTTTACTATTCTTAAGTCATATATATAAATTTCTCGGCATATTGTTATTAAAATTCATGTTTAATTGCAGGAAAATATCTTGTTAAAACATAGAGGAAGCAGTTCGATTAAAGTGATAGATTTTGGTAGTTCTTGTTTCGTTAATCAAAGGGTATATACTTACATCCAGTCTCGATTTTATCGATCTCCAGAGGTAAAAATTAAACATTGGATTATAGTAAATATTGAATTTTAGTCTAAAATTAATCTGTCTTTTAGGTAATTCTTGGACTTCCTTACGGGACACCTATAGATATGTGGAGTTTAGGTTGTATTTTAGCTGAATTATATACCGGATTTCCTTTGTTCCCTGGTGAAAACGAAGCTGATCAGTTAGCATGTGTAATGGAAATCTTCGGCCCTCCTCCTGGAGAAATTTTAGAAACTGCTAGCAGGAGGAGATTATTTTTCGGTACGCATCGATTTTATTTAAAATAATTACTTTTAAAGACAGAGTTTAAGGACGATAACATTTGGCAGATTCAAAAGGAGTCCCACGTTCCATCACAAACAGCAAAGGTAAAAAGAGAAAACCTAGTTCCAAAACATTAGCAGCTTCCATCGGATGCGGTGACGAAGACTTTGTCCATTTTCTGACACGATGTTTAGAGTAAGTTTTTATTACAGATAAATTTTCTGGTGTTATATTACTAGAGCTGATATATTTCAGTTAATATTATTTAGATGGAATCCAGATTTACGAATGATCCCAGATGAAGCTCTAAAGCATAATTGGTTGGCTGGAAAAAAGCAAGACGGAGGAAGAATTTCTAGAAGATCACAATCTCTTTCATCCCGTGATATAGAATCTGGTAAGCTACTTTCAATTTCTCTTTTTTCTTTATATTGAATATATTCTAGAAAAAAATTGCCATTTAATTTTCTATTAATGTGTAGGTTGTTCTTCATCAACTGTTTCGAGTGCATTGATAGAAGAGAAAGGTAAAACTGAGAAAAAGCTTTCTTCCGTTTCTAAGACAGCAGGTAATATTTTAAGATAAATAATTCTCCAATATTAGTATCTATTATGATTTTAATGCTTTAATTTCTAATAAACTCCTTATGTATAAACAGCTACAAATGTACAAACTGGACATTCAGAAGAGAAGATTGCTCTAGAAGATTCCGGAACATTTCTCCCTCCCATTTTGTGACTCTGTTTGAATTTTATCTTTCTGTATATTAATACATATCTCCATTCGTTGCAAAATGTTCCACACTCGGCCTTCAAGTGCACTCACTGTTCACGTCCATCACTATTCTGAGTACAATGATGTACATATTGTAAATAAAATGTACTATATTCGTGTGTAGAGTCATCATCCAATAAATTCCTTGGAGGTTTTGCCTTTCTTTTGATCATTGCACTAAATTAAACTAAAATATGAATATTTTTATACTCTTATTTTGCAGAAATGAATAATTGAATTTTAAGTTACAAGTATTAATGGTAATCTGAAAATCGTAAAATATTTAATCGAACTTTTTTCCTGTTAAAATGATGTTTGAATCATAATACTGTATTATATTAATCACAAAATGCAAGAGATGAAAGGATTAATGATATTAATTTAGCATGATTGATAATTCATTATTATTATTATTATTTTGCTAATGATTTTATTCTGTGACGCTTCCAAATATTAAAAATTTTAATTTATTCTTTTGAAATATAAAAATATATATAAATAAAATTCTAGAAATTTTTAATTATTGTTTGAAGATTTTTCTGTTATGATTTTTACAGTATCCAAAAAAAATGGCGCAATTAGGTAGGCTAAATATAATTTGTTTTGAAATTTTAAAGACATTAAAGAGTCTTAAAATATTTATTTTTATTATTATTTCACCAATACTTATAAGTTAGATTTAAGAAGTATAAGTATGTTGGTTGATGAAATAAAGCAACACAACACGTAAGCAATCTACAGAAAGGGCACGATGCTTTCATGAGATTTTCTAGGGAAATTGGCCCCTATTAGGTGTTAAAAACATTGTTTTAATTTTCCAATTCTATAAATGCCCCACTTTTGGCCGTCTGTCTGTCTGTCCTTTCTTAATCTCAAGAAAGATGTTAGATAAATGAGATTCAAACAAAATATAGAAAGACTGGGAACAGGAGGCTCCGATTAACTATATACGAACTTCTGATGAAAACCGAAAGTCACGTTATTTCAATTCAAATATTTTCCCCTGAAAGGAGTTAGATAGATGACCGGCACGACTCCATTGCTAACGAAAAAGTATTATATATACACGGGGACAAGATACTACAGTACTAATTTGAGGTGAAGAACTTATATTTTAAATTAAATACAGTAAATTAAAAATATGATTAAAAATTGCAGCCAGGCAATGTGACGATGTCACAAGGAATAATAGTTTGTTATTTTATTATTTTTAGCTTTAATTAATTTTTAGGTTTAATTTATTTAGTATTAATTTAGTTTTAATTTTTATAATAAATTTTAATAATTTTTATTTATTTTATTTTGCATTAATTTTGCCTGCATTTTTTGAACCTTTAATTACATTTTTTAAAATCAATTTCAACTCCTTTTTTCTTTTGCCATATAATTTACAGTTGTTTCGTGCAAAAGGGTCATCAAATTTAAATTTATTTAAACTTTTTTAGTAATTTCATTAATGTTTGTTTTATAAATTTGCCTGCTTTTTAAATTTTTTTTATTTATTTTAAATTTTAATTATAAGCGAGTTAACATTGATTGAACTATAGGGCTACTTAGTTATAAATTAATTAATTTTTCATTAAATTATATGAAAAAATAATTTTTGTTTCTTAAATTTTTAAAAAGCGTAATTCGTTAATAAGATTTTATTTTGTTCAATTAAACTTTCGTAATTAATTTCTAATTTTAAACATTTAAATGCAAATTTAAAGAAAACTTAATTCAATTTATCAATGGTTGAATAATTGATCAGGTAAGTTTTTATGTTTACATGGAAATATTGTATAAACAAATGACATTATTTTCTATGAAAATTCTTTCATTTGATATTGTCAAGATTTCCTATTTAACAACGTTAATATAGTAGTCGATAAACAATATGTAGATACATAATAAATTTACTTTGTTATAACAATATCTTGCAAGAAAGTAATGGTTGTGAGTATATCTGATGATAGCCGAGGAGGTAAAGCTCCATCGAATCGGGCGAGCAACTCTCCGAGAAGTTTAAGTGGACGATACAGTGGCCAAGCGGTCTTTGTTTCCTGAACACTGGGAGCTCGGTCGTGGGTTCACGCCTCGCTCGGACGGGCTAGCCACGTGGAATTTTCCGGGTTTTCTGCACGTCTGTAACGTGTAAATAGGGGCCAGTTTCCCTTAAAAAGACCTTCAGGAAGGCATCCCCCTTGGCAGATGGCCCAACTGCCATAACTGAACAAACAAACCCTGTGATTTTCATCTTTTTGATTTTGGCTGTGGACACACTTTAAAAAGTGTAGTTTATCGAGAACATGTTGCAAATTTGGCAGCTTCGATACTGCACGAGAAAAGCATCACAGAAGATCAATTACAGTCGGCCGAACCCAAATATATGTGGAAACAGTACCCTATTGCCAGGAACGCTCATATCGGATCCGAAATAGAGAGGGCTTCTTTTACCTCTTAGAGTGTCCGTTTTGAATTTTTTTTCTTGAACAAACGAAATACGGTACGTAAAATGTTTCTTTATTATTAGAAAGTAGTTTTAAAGATTTTATTTTCTGTTTGCAAAAAAATAGCATTAATATACATAAAATAGCTTAAAATAGCATTAATTTACAGGAGTAAAAATCACTAAGAGTCCAAGTTTTCTTTGGATCAGGAAGAAAATCTCCAGTTCCTCTCAATGGCCTGCCTAATGGCACTAAGAAAGTGATTTTGTTCTATTGAGTACCGTGAGAAAATTTTCATTAGCTTTTTTGCAGTTTTTATTTATGTATTATCGAAAATTACAATTTTTGTAGTGAAATATGTTATTTTTTAACGTCATGGACATCCGAAATTTTACTTTCTGAAATGGAAAAAACAATTATTACAAAATATAGATTGCTGAAATATGTTAAAAATTTTTTTAAGTAAACGAAAAACAAACTTTCTGAAATAAATTATAATTTGTAGAAATATAAACTAGGAAACAAAATATTTTTGGCAATCCATTCCAATTATTAAGTCAACTGAAAGTGCATCAATTAATTCACAATATTTGAGGCGGAGCGTCAGAGAATCCTCTTCTAAGTGGCTTGCAGAATTCTGTTCGTTTTTAAAATCTGTTCGATCGATTTTGATTAAACTTTACCATTTTTCATTATTTGCGATGAGGAATCCAAAAATATAATAAAAAATGGGGGTCCATAACTTCGTTTTCGAGATATAAGATCGTTTCACGAGCGTGAGCGACAAAGTCTCGGGATGTCCCAAGGTTGCTAGCAGGTCTTGCATGTGGCTTATAGAATAGAGTTCGTTCTCAAAATTTGATTGGCCTATTTTATTAAAACAGCCATTTTCTATTGATTGTGATGAAGAATCTAGAAATGTAATAAATGCAAATGTAGAAAGTAGGGTTCCAAGATTTCGTTTTCGATATAAAGTGGGGTCAAAGTGATAATGTCCGTCTCCTTGAGCATGCCTAAAGGAATTTAGGGCCAAATAAAAAACATTGTTGAGTTTACATAACAGAAAACAGACACAAAAAACGAACAGAACACAAGAACAAAGCAATTGGCATCGATTGCTTTAGTTTTGGTTTATTCGTATATCGCAACGCGACACGTGGGCGATCTGATAAGGGGAATACAATAAAAGACTGGAGGTCTTTTATTGGAGTACTGCCCCTATTTAGATGTTACTAACGTGAATAAAACGTAGTCAAACCGTTCGACAGGAGCAAATTCACAGCCAACTACCAGTGTTCAGTGGTTTTATCCACTTAGCCGCTGGTGGACATTGGCATTCATTGCCTTGTTCTTAGATCGCCTTTCCGTGTTGATCAGTGTAAGGGTCATCTCTATGTACCGGTCAGTACAAGAACCCTTTCTCTTGGCCGGAAGGGTGCGAGTGTCGCCTCTCTCGTGGTCGGGGGTGAAAAGATGTCTCTTTCGTGGCGGCAAGTGCAAAGTTTTCCTGTCCGCGACCATCAGTAATAAAGAATTGCTTTTTCTGTGTCTAACAATGCAATGATCACTTCTTTCTTTTCTGCTCCGTCTCAATTCTATCGAGATACGACAAAGTCGCGCGATGTCCTAGTTTAAATTGTATTGCAATACACTAGGTGATCATTAAGTTCTCCTATTCAACGTTGTCTGTAGATATTTAGCCTTTCAAATGCAACCAAATCTGGTATGATGCCATTTCGAAAGGTACGTAAGATATTTCCATAAAAAAGACAAATTAGTACTAAAACTCATCACTATGTCACTTTTGGCGCTTTAAGCAAGAAACATTTTATTTATACAAGACACTTATGCAGAAAGCTTAGCAATGCAAGGGATACTGCTCAATATAATTCTTATTCTGCAAGTGTGTTCAACGGCCGACAGTAAATCCTCTGTGATGTGAATAATCCTTCTCATATGCAGTGTGATACCATCTTTCAAGGCTATCATATTTGCAATGTCTTCAATAAATCAAGCTTTTTCTAAGTGTTTTCACAACCAAGTTTTTACAATTATTCATCGCTTGCAACACAAAAAGAGCCATAATGGTAAACTTTTGTACTAATTGGGCTGCAATTTGAAAAAATGTAGATCTATAAATTTCCACTATCGTCTGTCCATTCTTCCTTAATCTCGAGAACGGAGTTAGATAGACGAAAGAAGAGACCAGATATGGAAAGCTTAGGGGCAACAGGTGGCCCCGATTAACTTCCGGTACAAACTGGGAGTCACGTTATTTTAATTCAAAAATTTTCTCCTGAAAGCAGTTAGATGTCCGGCACAACTCTGTTGCTAACGGAAAAGTATGATCTACAGGGCAAGACTACTAATTTGAGGTGTAGAGCATATATTTTAAATTAAATAAATTCACAAAATATGCAGCCCGGTATTGTGACGATGTCACAATGAATAATTTCTTTTTTTTTTTACGGAAATTCTTCAGCATGTCCTGGAATATCATTATGCTAGTTCGTTGCATTTAGATTGCTAAATATCTCTGTGGACTGCGTTGAACAGGGTTAGTTTCATTACGACTGTATATAGGCTACTATTCCGTAATTCTTCATAGATTGGTGAGGATTAATCTTTTGAAAGTTTCAGCGATAGTTACGCATTTAAATTTCGATATCTTGATTAAAAAATTAAGAATAAAATTAATATTTTCCATTTTATTTTTTCAGTATTGTTATCAATGGTAAGAAATCCAGATTTGAATATTGAAAGTTTTTTCATTAAGCAAAAGTACATATAATACATTCATTCCCTGATTTAAGAAACCGCGATGATCGTTAAATTTTTTGTTGTTTTCAATAGTTTTTGCAAATAACAATATACTTTCAATGCAATTTTAAAATAAGAAAAACTATTTAAAACAGTTACATGAAAACCGAGACCAGATGTGAAAAGCTTAGGGGCAGGAGGCCCCGATTAACTTACGATACAAGAAC